AACAGAGATTCCAACTCTGCCAATTTTGACGTTGACATTCTGTATGGTGTCATAGATATAGGTCTGGTACCAGGGACAAGATCAATTGTAAACTTCACTCCCCTCTCTCGAGGTAACTCTGCAACATCCTTTGGGAACACTTCAGGAAATTCTCTCACAATAAGTAATTCCTCAATCGACGACTTACCCTCCATAGATAACGAAGCGAACACTGCAAATACTTTAGCTTCGTCTTCTACCAAGATTCTCAACTCCTTAGTAGATATAAGACTAGCCATTTCTTCTTCTTCAGGAGTCAGGAATAACAGCCTCTTCCTATAACAATCAATTTAAGCATAGTTGCTCTCGAGCCAATTCATCCCTAAAATAACATCCAGTTCGCTGAGTGGTAGACAAATCAAGTCCACTCCAAAATCTTTACCAAAGATCGACACAGGGCAATTCAAACACACTAAAGATGTAGTGATTGATCCAATAGATGGAGTATCAATCACCATTCCTCTACTCAAAGTAGATGACACAAGCCATAGTCTCTTCACACAATCCATAAAAATAAACGAGTGATTTACACCCGTATCAATAATAGCAATCAACAGAGTGTTATGAATGTAACACGTACCTTTGAAACGATCCTCACTGGTAGGCTGAGCTCCCACCAATTCAAACACCTTCCCACCTGTCTGAGACTTCTTCGGTTTCTAACAATGGATGCTGATATGACCTTGATCACCATATTTGTAACAGGTTGGTATGTTGGTTCTACAATCCGCGACCACATGACCTGGCTTCCCACACTTAAAACACTTATTCACCTCATTCTGACATTCATTCGCACGGTGACCCACGCCACCACATCTGAAACACTTGAGAGGATTGGAAGGATTTCCTCCCTCACTTGGTTTCTTCCCAGCAACATCTTTCTGCTTTCCTTTATCAGCCGGATCACGGTAAGGTGTATTCCCATGCCTCTGTTTGCCTCTTCTATCACTTAGATTCTTATAGTGAGCGATTCTAGCTCTGTTGTCTTCATCATAGATCCCACACCTGTTCACCAGCTCAGGAAAGTACCCGATCTTCTGATAACCAATACCTAGTTTGATCTCGGGATGCAGCCCATTCTCAAACTTGATGTACTTCGAACTCATAGCTGCATCAGTATTGTAGTGGGGACAATACTTTACTAGTTCGTCGAACTTAACTGCATACTTTGCCACTGTCATGTTCCCCTGTTTCAACTCAATGAATTCAATCTCATTCTTTCCGCGAACATCTTCCGAAAAAGACTGTTCCAGAAACTCTTCCCTGAACACTGTTCAATTAATGGGACCCTCACCAGCTTCCAATCTCTGGCGAGTGTTGTTCCACCAGTCCTCAGCCTCACTTTCCAGCATATGGGTACCAAACTGTACCTTCTGATCCTCTGAGCATCCCATGACTCTAAAGATTTTCTCAATATCCTTCAGCCATTTCTGTGCTACATCTGGATCATGTCCGCCTTCGAACTTAGGTGGCATGTTATTCTGGAACTTCTCCAAATTATGGAACTCTCTGTTTCTAGCACTCCGATTGATATTCTAACCAATGTTCTCTACTATTTGCGCAACAGCTTGTAACGCAACATCATTCCTTTCAGCCATACTGCTCAACATCCACGAAACACAGGTTAGAAAAACACATGACTATAAACATCCTATAGTCAGACTCTACTACAACACTGGCCGGACGGACGGACCTGCTCTGATACTAATTGTAACACCCCACTCTACCCCGTACGCGTATTATACGAATATTAAAGAAATTACATCAGAGTTTTCAAAACAATTAGGATGTCACACTAAGTCACTTTATTCTTCATAAATAAACCAATGTTATCTAGCTTTCAATTAAATAGCGGAATAAATTCAATTCTTTAAACATAGTTTCCACCACGAGGTGATCATACATCTTCAATCCAACAAATAAAAGATACGTAACAATAAATCAAGAAAATAAGAAAAATATAATGTAATCCCGTCATCCCATGTTATGTATCAGAGCGACTCATAAAACTCGATCAAATAGCAACGCACTCCAAGCACTACTCAGGTACCTGGTCATCTGCACTCCCCAAGGAGCACAGACGCAACAAACGGAAAATGGGTGAGAACTACATTCAATAAATAAGCGGTGAAATACACATGCTAAGGAGTAGTTACACACCACACATATAATCATACACGTACAACGCACATACACGTGCCACCTCAATCACTTGGCATCAATAGCCCATATCAAATCCGAATATGCAATGTGACTCACTGACCCGACACAATGCATGTGGTACCAACACAAATACATACGGTTCACCCTAGAACCCGATTCCCGTCGGAATCCGGATAAGTCGTATACGTTCCTCTGAACTACAACTTATCTCCACAACGACTTCCACATGAAGTCCGGATGAAACTTGACACCCATCATGGATTCCCACCTAGCCATCTCCACCAGACACATGACATGAAATGCATGACAACACAATTATGCAATATAATAATAATTTCAAGCATAATTCACGATCATCAATGATCCACACGAGCCATCTGCTCATCGTAATCCTCTCGGGAATTACCACAATCGCACAAAATTATTCACATTTGATAATCATGGCTCACCCTCATCAAAACGCACCTTTAAGGGAAAACCCATATAATTCCACATTCTCTTTAATTAGATGCATTACTAGTATTTCTTAAGTTCATTCTAGTTCTATTAATCCTACCGAGTAAACGGAAATGCATTCCAAGCAAAAACTGGACAGAAATCACAAAAGCTGGGGAAAAGTCATCCCAGACTGTCCATACGCGTAACACCCTTCCTCATACGCGTATTGGCAGAGGCTCACACCTCTCCAAGTTCCCTCAAGCAACCCCTTACGTGTATGACTACCCTTCATACGCATATTGACCAGGCCCATACGCGTATCACTAGATGGCCGTGCTGGCACTAGGGACAGGGCACGTTTGCTACGTGTACAACCCTTGGGAAGTCCCCCATACGCCTATTGACACCTCCAATACGCGTATAACCAACAGATCTGTCAAAAAACTCAGATCTCACCATTCTCATGAGTTTCTACTCAAGATCATCATTCTATCTTCCCATTCATCCTAAAACTCAAATTTTAATCGATTCCAATGAATCCTATCTTCTATTCTTTCAAGATTTTAGTTATTAGATCTAGTTTCGATTACGGTTAAACCCTTGGTTCTCAGATCTGTTAATCCACAATAATCTATCACAACTTCAGGAAATTTCCACACGAATTTTCATATTCGTACCAGAATCATAGATATAACATCATACAATGATCATTCAACAATAACAGCAATCACAGGGAAATCATAATATCACGAAAATCAACTAAAAGGGTAAGAACAAACCAAATTCCTACGAGAGAAAGGACCTCTCACTACCCTCTCATGTTAATTTACCCATATTGAAATCCATTCTCCCCCTTACCTTGAATTGAAGCTTTTTCCTTAGCAATAATGGAGAATTGGTTCTTTTTGCCCTAACTCTCGTTTCTCTGCCTTTTTTCTCTTTTACGTGATAATTGACTAATTCCTCCACTAACTCTCTCTTAACCCCCCTTAATCAGCTTTTAATTCCATTAATCCAATTAATAATAATAATAATAATAATAATAATAGAAACTACCATCCTAATATCCTATTAATATTATTATCAATAATAATTAAATAATAATATCAATAACCATAGTATTCTTATTATTTTTATTAAATGGTTAATATTATTATTATTATTATTATTATTATTATTATTATTATTATTATTATTATTATTATTATTATTATTATTATTATTATTATTATTATAGGTTCACCTTACCCCAACTAAGGTCACCTTTCACTCGCACCTAACCTCATACTCCTAATTAAGGACATTACAACAAATACGCGCACAATAAAGTATAAAACGAATAAATAGTTTAAATGGGGTGTTACAAATGACATGGTGTTTCACGCTGCTTACGGTAATTTCTCATTACTAATATTTTCATAATTCATTTGTTACACTTGTTATTAATATTTTATCTCACCACTTTTCATGGATGAATCATCTCCGACTTCTCTCGCATCACTGGGTGGGAAGCTGCACCCTGCTACACAGAGAACTGGCCTCATGCAGCCACTTTTGTTTCGTACATGAGGAATGGTACAATCAAGCTCTTCAGAGTCTCTCTTAACCGTATGTACCCGATGACGTTTTCTTCTGACAACAAGTTTGATCGCCAACGAGCATTAGAGCTAGTGCGATGGCATAAAGTGAGATTGGTTTGCCATATGAGAATGGCTCTAGAGCTGACGCGACAACGCATATTGAAGCTGGCGGTGGAGCTAGGGTAGATTGAGGCTGGTGGCAAAATGACAGTGGATTTGGGGTCCAAAAGGTTGTTTGATTCGTCGAAACTCGAGTCTAATTTTATCAGTTTGTGTGTTTTTGGCTTCATTTTTGTTAGTAAGGACAATGTTAATGTTAGTTTTCAAGATTTGAACTTTAGAGATTCATCTTGAAAACACCATAGTTCTTAATTTACTATCTCAATTACTACATATTCAAATCGAAGTCGATCTAAATAAAAACTGCCAAATCAATTCAAAAAAATTAAAAACCAGAAAAACATATTCAAATTAAACCGCATAAAATTAAATCGAATTGTTTTCACTAGTTATTCAAAACAGAATCACGAATATCTTTATCTTTAAATCGGATGAATTTCTGTCTCAAAACCGCACCGCAAACATCCTTGTACACAAATATTCCTCAATTTTCTTCCTCTCGTGAATTTTATAGAGAAAAGGTTCAAGTTATATCTTTTATTTTGCTGCTATCAAGTAGTAACCAGAGTCTTTGGTCACCATAATCTCTAAACCAATTAATGTTGCAACTCCTACACCATATAGTACCTTAAAATGCCTTATTTCTTAATCATAACTCATTTATGTTAGTGTATCTGACTCCTCAGGGGGTGGTTTCTTCTTTTCTCTCAAAAATGGTGTGAACATCAACACAACTCCAAGTCCTCCAACAACATTCAGGACAAAGAAAACCATATGAGTTCCTGCAATTAAATGCGTAACAGTAAACTTCAGAAATCCAGCTAAAAATGCTAGTAAAAGAAATGAGTGCAGAAATGTTGTTAAATATATTGCATCATTCATACCTGGAAGAAAAGACGCATGCATCCGTTTTTGTGACCACGTTAATCTGCATTGACCAAAGGATGAGTTAGACACAAGTTTATCTCAAAATTTGGAACAATGAAAGATAGGTAGAGAAATCAAAGGGCAACTCACACTGCACCACCTCCAGCTGGACCAACTGCTTTGAATATTGACATTATAGTCATAGCAATGCCATTAGCTGCCCCTCTTTGATGTTGTTCCTGTTTTTCAAATCAACCTTACATTTACGCCACATTTTCCTCTAATTATAATATCAAATTTTGGAAACAAATAAAAGCTAAAAAAATTACCACAGCTCTATTTTGCATGATAAATAAACCAGTGATTAAGGTCATCTGAAATCCAGAAAAAATCCAGTTAGGTAAGATTGTAATACATACAGATACAGATGTTTGAACCGTCGTCACTCATGATTGGTTAAATAAACTTACACTTAGAACATTCTTCAGAAGGGAAGCGATATTAATAACTAGGTATAGTGTAATGCCAGAGAGCATTGCTATGAAGGGGTAACTTTGCAAGAGAGGTATGGATAAAACCTGCATAAGGTAACAAGACACTTTTAGAACGAGAACTAATGTAGCTCTGAGTAGCATTAATTTCTATGAATGAAAAAAAAAACTTACCGCAGAGATGCGAGCAAATTTTACAGGTCCGAAAGCTCTCTCCAATGGTGGGTAGAGAAAAAGCTGGGAGACAACAAGACCAATACCTGATCATTGCCCATTTGAGAAGAGGTCGGTTACTAAGCAGAACGCACAAAGTAATAATGTATGCGTATGTGACTTGAAGGAAGAAAATATGTTAATCCTAACACTAATAAATCTTAGTGACACATATTGAAGACGTACCTGATATTGCGAGAACATCGCCTAGATTATCAGTTGTAAAGTCCAAACCGCCAAACCTTTTAGGACTAACGGCCCATAATGAGAAAACCTATCATGAAGTAGAATGGTGTTTACTTATATCCTACTAGATAGTCTCACAAGTGCTTATAGATAAGTTCAAATAAGTCAATCCGAACGGACCAAAAGTAGGAACGGTACCTCTTGATAAGCAACATTATAAAGTGAGAAAATGCTGTACACAATAACAGATGACATTAATTGCCAGTTCAGGAAGAGGTTTTCATCTTTTTGGATTATTTTGTCTTCAGAGTTACTTCTGTTTCCACTTTCTAAAGCTTCAGCATCATCTATAGACTCATTGCTTAGAGGGTGGTTGTGTAGTGTTTCCTACATTGGTGCAGGCATTTTGTGATCAAATGCTTATACATGTTTAACAAACTATCAAGTCATCTAAATCACAACCGTTGCTTATACATACCGGAAGCCAGATGCAAGCAATTGCTACCACAAATGCAAAAGCTGATACTGACAAGGAAGGCAAGAAATATGGAAACCTGCAAGGTTTATGTTTTGACAGTTAAAATAATCACATCGACGACAATAAAGATGGAAGGAAAAGCTAAATTGTTACAATTTTATGATACTAAAAATCAAGAAAAATCCATTTACTTATCCCAAAATGAATCTTTTGGAAATAGATGAGGGTATTTCACTGCCGGCTGCAATTTAAATTTCACAGCGTATTAGCGAAACAAGTAAAAGTGTCTTAAATTACAATACATATGAAGCATCAAGTACCTGAGCCAAATAACCTCCCAATGCTGGTCCAATTACTAAGCCTATGCCCCAAGCAGCACTGAGCTGAAATCATATCAGATTACGAATTATTATTGTTGAATGCAGAAAATATATCAATGAAGCAATAACGCGTGCTACACCTAGTACTATTGAACTTGACGTGTGGATAGAAGTGATTGAATGTAACGTGTGTCAGTGTCATGTTAGTGTCAGGCATCAACCAGTGTCAAACATAGATTATAGAAGTTTACCGTTGAGAGTCCAAGACCTTGCTTTTCTTCTCTAAAAATTTCGGTACTATAAGCCTGTTATCAGAAAAAGATGCGATAAAATAATCAACTGATATCCATTTATAGAAATGACAAACTTATATTTCTGTTGTTTGGTACCTTCATTGGTCCAAGCAAACCATTTAAACATCCAAGAAAAAACCGCGTAGCAACCGCCATCCAAAAACTTGTGCTAAGGCCAAACAGTGTGTTGAAAATAATACTGAAATCAAGTATTTATCATCATCAATGCTGTAATGGAAAATTTCCAGGCTCTGATTGAATAAACAGCTTAATTAAGCACATATAACTCAAACTTTTATCATATAAGTAGGGTTCTGAGTAATCGAAAACTCTTTCTTATAAGTCAATCTAAACAAACTTAAACGACATATTTACTTACACTGAAAAAACCCCTAAAACTGCAACAGGCTTTCTACCGTAACGATCCGCTACAACTCCCCAAAATATAGACGTCAAAGATCTTCCAAACATGAATGCAGATCCTACAACATTGATCAGAAATAAAGACATTATGAAGATAAAACACTTCTAAGAAAGTAAGTTACAACCAAGGTTTTAAATAAAGCCTAAAATTTTCGCAATTTCTTTGTCATGAAAACAATGAATAACATAACATAACAGTATCAGTATCAGTATCGACATCTTCTGATACTGTTTTCTCGCGACCGTTTTTTAAAACCTTGGTTACAACCACACGCAAAAACACACATTAATTTTACCTACATAACCAGCATAAGCACTTATATCCTCCTCTCTTTCTGCAACATTGAAATCTTTTATCTAAAAGAAAATATTGTTTACATTAAATGTTACATTATTAAACTAACAATGAACCACATATATTATTAATTAAAGATAAATTACCATGAAATATAGGTAAGGAAAAAGAGATGCTATAGGCAAAGCTGAAAACAAAAAACAAAGACATGAGTGATATATAAATAAGCAGTTGAAAAAGATCAATCATTTTTTGAATGCTTAGCTTACAGCTGCATAAAACCACCATCCAAATGTTCAAAAGATTTCGAAAAGTAACGTCAGTTTTGAGCTCTTTTGCTTTGTCAACTTTACAGCCAGGACAATTCTCATAATACTTTTTATTCAACAATGTTTCGCTAACATTTTCATCTTCCATTTTCTGTAACAATAAGAATAACAAAACAATGTTCTTGTTTTTTTTCTGTAACCCTCTTGAACGAGTTTTTTTATTTGCAATGCAGAAAGGACTAATCAGAAAAACAGAGATGGGAAGAAAATAACAATGCAATGAACTTTGATGAAAGAAAATGCCATTGGATCTGCAGAAAATGTAACAAAAGAACCGAATCAAGAGAAACACGAACAAATTGATCAAGGAAATAAAACAGTTTTTTCCCTTTTCTTAATGAATTTAAAATAAATAAAAAGAAATTTTATTTCTAAGATTAAAAAAAAGTTAATTTAAAAATTAATTAGATTTGTTTCGGTAGTATTTAATAATATGGGCATCATTTAATTACTCGCATATTAGAGCATATTTAGTAGAAGTATTTTAAGAGGGTAAACTAAGATATTTTTTGTGGTCCCAAAGTGATTTGTAAGATTTAAAAAATTTATAGTTGATTTGAGTTGTTTTTATTTTAATGATAGTTGTTTATAAAAAACTAAAACTTGACCCTATATGACCGCTGTTTTCAAAAAATTACAAGACTTTAATAATATAAATAATAATATAGCTATGTAATTGCTGGAAACTAAAAGTTAGTGAATTAAATGTCATGTCATAACCATTCTAATGCAAATTCTTTATAATCATTGTTAACTATTAAAAACCTGCATCAAAGATGCTCTTAGAAATTAAGAGGTTTTAAAAAACGGTTGTGCCTTTAAGCCCGCAAAGTTCTTAAAGGTTGGCCTGCGTTTCTCATATTCAAATTTTGATGTGTTTATATAGAATTTTACTTTGGTTTTAAACGGAATTTCGTTAGTGAACGGTGAAATTAGTTCTTTTAGATTAGTTGGTCAGAAGATCGAATATCAAGATTTCAAATAAAAAAACAGCATAATTGGTAGCTGTGTACGGACACCAATACAGAGGCGCGAGTTTGAATCCAAGGCATCTCACTTATTCACTTTTATTTTAATAGTTAGACTACTTTAAAAAAATGATTACGGACAATAAATACAATCACTACAAAATAGTATTAACAAGTGTCATATCAATACCAATATTTACTATTTTATGTTAAAAAACAAATTATTGTTAACTCATTCTTCAACGACTCCAAACATTGTCATAATACTTATATAGATAGAAATTGCAAAAATGTTTATGCATCCGCAATCTAATTTTTTTAATAAAAAAAATCCCACTCAAATGTGGATCTCTTCATCAAAACTTACATAGATTCTCTCAACAATAAATATGAATAACAATATGTATATTTAAAAATAATAACGGAGAAAATACTATCTCCGACCTAAATTATAAGACGTATTGGACATTTTCATCGAATTAAAAAACTTAAATATTATTTTATAGAAAAACAAATTATATATGACTTTATAATATTAACATTGCATTGAGAATGTAAGATGATTTATAATTTAGGATTTTTTTTAATAAAGTGACTAATAATATTGTATAATATTATTAAAATAAGAATCATTTTTGTGTCAATAATAAGGCATAATTAGTCTGTAAGTCCCTTAAATTTAAGCGAAATTTCGTTTTAGTTCCCTACCTGAAAAACGTTATGTAATGGTTTTTTAACCTCTCTTCCGTTCAACTATTTTGTCCCTTCTGTTAGTTTTGATGAAAAAATGTTAATTAGGATTGAATTGGCATGTCAGATAGACAATTCTTCATCTCCTTCCATTTTTTCTTTCTTTATCTTTATCCTCACCTTCAACACATTCATATCAAAATCCAAAATTTTTTAAAATAAACCCAAATTTTTTTATCATACACCACCTAACAATTAAACTTAAAAAAAAAACTTCAACACAAACATAAAAGGAAAATTGAAAGGAACTGTCATACTTGAGCAGTAACTTCAACTAGTTTCGGAACAAAGAACAAATTGAAATCAAAAAAGGAATTGGTCTTGCACCTTGAACAATAGTGGATTTGGATTCTGATTTTGACGGTGGTAGTGGAAGAGGAGGAGATAAATTGGCATGACCTAGAAAATGAGATTTTAAGAAAGGATTAAAGTTTGAAGCGTGGGTGAGTTCTGACTTTAGATTTTTTTAAAATAAAGTTATTATAATATTATTAAATAAAATTATAAATATTAAATAAAAAAATTTCATATCAACTTAAAAATTTTCAGAATGATTATATTTAACGGTTTTTTACAAAAAAAAAAAACTAACGGAAATAATCAAAATATGTAACGGAATGTTAGTTAATGGAGCGCTATATAACATTTTTTAGTTAAAGGACCAAAGCAAACATTGAGTAAAGTTAAAGGATCAAAAGAGGCATTAAGGCCTAATAATAATAATAGACCCTATCTCCATTGCCGTTTTCGATCGCAAACTCTGCCAGCATCACCGGAGGAGCACCTACACCGTTGCAGTTTAATCCTATGGCGCAGTCTTCGATAATGCAATTTCTGTTACTGAAACCGATAACTGCATTTTTCTTGCTTTTTCGAAGGCGTAATCGATTACAGGAATTGTGGTAATCGATTACGCCACTGGAATTTTTTTGAAAAACCTTCCAAAATTCATGACTTTTATTCCGCGAGTTCGATTCGAGTACCGTTCGAAGCGTCAGAAAACTGGCGTGATGAACTTTAATTTAAAAATAGTTTCAGTAGCAGAAGTTGAATTATTTTTCTGTTTGTTGATGTTTAACGCATTATTATCATTTTGTTGTGGTGTGGTATGATTTTAAATGCCTTGTGGATGCTTGTCATGTTGTATATCATTGTTGTTAGATTGTATGACATGTTGTTGTTGTTGTTGGCATGTAGTGGCGTGTTGCATTTTTTAGATGGTCGTTGTTGTTGTTGTTATTGTCATACATTTCATGGTTGTATGAGTTGTGAGATAAGTCGTGTGCTCGTGTGGGGTGCGAGCGTCTTATCCAAATTCTAATTGTGGAATCATATTATTATTGTTGAGGTGATCGTGTATCCATGTGGGGTGTGAGAAATCACGGTGATCCGTATGCCCATGTGAGATGTGAGCGATCACGAAAGTCGTGCGTCCATGTGGGGTGTGAGCAACATTATGGAAATTACGACAGAAATTATGATCCTGAAATAGGGACCGAGTTCTGAAATAGGGACTGATGGTACCATATGCATTGAGTCAAGTCGTGAGTCTTAATACATTACATTATTGTTGTGTTGGTTGTTGTTGTGTTGAATTGGTTGTCATGTCGGTTGTAACTGCTGTTGTAGGGTTGTATGTTGTGGAATGAGTGTTTGTGCATGAGAAATCTAATACTTGCTTTATTATCATGCTTTCTTTTATCTATTTATGATATCCCACCCTTTTGTTTGAATGTTGCCTTTACATGAGCATCGTGCAGATAACTCGCAGTAGAGGAGTTGAAGTAAGTAGAAGATGATGTTTTCTATTTTCCTTTTAGTGTCAACATCTGCTCTTATGTGTAACACCGGGGTCAGGGAACATTGTGTTATGTTAAGTTTGATGGAGATATTTGGATATCTCTATAATAATTGTTGTTTATATTATCTTGAAGAATAATTATTCTTTAAATAACTGTTTATCTTGATGCTTCCACTATTTCAATAAAGTTTTGAAATTAAGACATGTGGAGTTGTTTTGGTGATTTTAAATAATTATCAAATATTTTCATGTGTTACATATTTTAATATATGAGCAGCTGATTGTTGTTGAATTGTATGACATCCTAAATATGAAATGTTTAAATTTACTCTGATTTTTAATTAAACACGTGGGGTATATTTAGGGTGTTACATTAGTGGTATAAGAGCAGGTCGGTCTATTCAGTCAAGTTTTTGAGTCGTAGTGGTGTGACAGTTGGATACTGTCTTTGTTGTGACAGTTGAATACTATCTTTGTTGTCTTTGTTGATTTGTAGGGAGTTCTTGAGGAAGTACTTTCCTAAGGATGTTTGTGGGAAGAAGGATTTCAAGTTTTTGGAGATGAAGCAGGGTAATTTGACGGTTACTGAATATGTTTCCAGATTTGTGGAACTTGCTAAGTTCTATTCGTATTATACTGAGGCGACTATTGAGTTCTCAAAGTGTATCAATTTATGAGGAGGATAGAAAAGCTCGGTCAGCTCATTATAAGAGTCTGAGTGAGTAGAAGGAAAAGTATAATGTGAACGGTGGGAAGCCTTACAGTGCTTCAGCCGATAAAGGTAAGCAGAGAGTTGCTGATGGTAAGAGGTCAGGTGGGGGAGGTGCTCCCGCTCCTCTTAAGTGCTATAAATGTGGTGAGTTGTGTCATTGTGTCAGTGAGTGCAAGAGTGATGTGAAGAAGTGTTACAAGTGTAGGCAGTTTGGGCATCTGATTGTTGACTGTAAAGTTAATGTGGTGACTTGCTACAACCGTGGAGAACCTAGAAATATTAGTACCCGTTGCCAAAAGCCAAAGCAAGCTTCGACTAGAGGAAATGTGTTTTCTATGACAAGAACCCAGACTTCCAGTGATGACAGGTTGATCAGAGGTATATGTTATATTAATAATACGCCTTTGATTGATATTATTGATATTGATGCTACTTATTCTTTTATTGTTGCCGATTATTTGAAAAGGCTTGACCTTGTTATTTCTTCTATGAAGGGAGAAATGGTTATCGAAATTCCTGCTAAGGGATCGATGACTACTTCTCTAGTGTGAGTTCAATCATGTTCATATCAACTGTTATAACAAATCGGTGCAGTTTCTTGCTTCTGACGATGAGAAAGAAATTGGTTTACTATCTGCTAACATCTTATGCCCCAAAAATCACCTTCATTTAAGTCACTCATTTATCCTAATTCTTGTCATAAAAAACAGGCTGGTGTGCTGCAAAGTTTCCATGACCCACCATAATTATTATCTCTTACAATCACTTGAGTTCTTTAGGATAACTCCCTCCCACTTTTTCCTCTCAACTCTCCCACTATAAATTGTATTGTGCGTATCAGTTGAAAAAATACTTCA